CTACAAAGAATGATGGCCTTATATGTTGCAAGTCATTATAAAAATTCACCTAATGACTTACAGTTAATGTCTGATGCTCCAGCCCATCATTTATTTGTTTTGTTACCACCTATAACAGAAGGAGATAATTCATTACCTGACCCACTATGCGTTGTACAAGTAAATATATTCACTCATATTGATTTATCTTATGAAATTATGTTTAACATGTTATACTATTTATTTTATGAAAGGTTTGTTTGGAAGGTGAAATATCCAAAAAAGCCGTTTTAAATAGCCTAAGTAGAGGCCAGCGAGCTAGTGGAGATTTGATTCCTTGGTTGCTTTCACAACAAGTTTGTCTTTTTTATTTTTATACGCGTTATTTATTATGATCATATGCATATTAACTTTATTGTGTATGATATTAGTTCCAGGATGATGATTTCGCGAGCTTATCTGGAGCTCGCATAGTTAGAATAGCAACACATCCCGATTATATTAAGGTTTCTCCATTGAACACAAGTTACTTTTATTTTTAATTAATGTACAGCAATTAGTAAAAACAGATTTCTATTATATGTATAGATGGGTTATGGATCTCGTTGCCTGGAAATGCTTAGCTCGTTTTATCAAGGTGAATTTACCGTTTTGAATGAAAATGAGGATTATCAACAAGAGAGTATAGTAAGAGTTGACGACGCCGAACTAGAAGTAGGTATTAAAAATAAATTTGTGCATAATGATTGTATTCTAATTTACTCTGATTTTCAATATAATAATAGAACGCCAATCTTCGTAATGATGAAATTAAAATTCGGGATCCTCGCAAAATGCCACCTTTACTTTTGAAACTTTCTGAGAAACGTCCAGTAAGATTACACTATTTAGGTGTTTCATATGGGTTGACACCATCGTTGCACAAATTTTGGAAACGTGCAGGATTTGTCCCTCTTTACCTTCGACAAACTCCTAATGATTTAACAGGAGAACACACATGTGTTATGCTCAAAGCTTTGAGATCTGATGATCTTATTACTACATGTGACCCCAAATGGTTGGTCGCATTTTCAAAAGACTTTCATAAAAGATTTTTGAATTTGTTGTCATATCACTTCCGTAGCTTTCCAAGTGTGTTATCACTTAGCATTATGGAAGCAGCTGATGCCGGAAATGAGAACGCAGAAAATGGAATTCAATGTGAGTACATTTATTTAATAACTCTAAGATTTTGTAATAATATCCACTTTCATTATTATTAAATTATTCTTGACATGTATTGTCAGCATATAGCAAATCCGCACTTGAATCGAATTTTTCTGTTTATGATTTGAAACGACTTGAATCATATTCTAATAATATGTTAGATTACCATGCCATTCTTGATTTACTTCCAATTATTGCATATTTACATTTTAGCAGGAAATTAGGAGATCATGTAAAATTATCTGGCGTTCAAAGTTCAATATTGTTGGGTATAGGATTACAAAGGAAAAGTGTTGATGATTTAGAGGTAAAATTATTTAACTTAATTGTGTGATTAATTCGAATTGATTACTAATATCGCTTTAATTTTAAATTGTAGAGAGAATTAACATTGCCTTCAAGTCAAATCCTTGCTTTATTCATCAAATTAGTTCGTAAATTTTCAACATATTTCCGATCGTTAGAAACAGATGCGATACAAAAAGAAATTCCAGATGAAACAGTGGTTATAAAAAGAAAAGGTGTTGCAGATAAAATCTCTAATCAACAAACTACTAATAACAATAAAGAATCAACATCAAGTCTTAAAGAAAATGATGAGGCATCATGGGATCCATTATCTAAAACTCTAAATGAGGATTTAAATGAAGCTGGAGAAGAAGTGATGAGTCAAATGATTGAAAAACAGAGAGAACTGATTAATTCATTAGATTTATCAAAGTGATTATACGTTAAAATGACTTTCCTATTGGCAATTTAACTTTATTTATTATTAATTAAATAGATTAATGGAATAAATTTAACTAATTTATTTAATTGTTTACTTTAGGTATGCAATAAGTGGTACATCA